GTTAGGTTGGTCAATTTAAATACTGTGGCTTCCTGTTGGATAGACACACAATCTTTACATCGAAATGTTAATGCATACAAAGCAACAAGACATTGTTAAATAAAACAGCAATAGCTACTACAAATTAGGCCTGTGACCAATTACATATGATTAAAATTACTTTCTACATTCACGTCCACAGGACTCATCCACCATTTAACATCCCAACCAAAACATTGCACATGTGAAACGATCACCCACTGGAAAAATACTAAACCTGTACGTTTGGTATTGCAAGCACACTTATGCATGAGCAAGCAAGGGAGTCACAGTGAGAATCTACAGCTGCAGAAGCCTGAAAATGATTTACAAAAAGTGTTAAATCATTAAAAAAATTGTCTGACAAAGTATTAGTGCTTAAACATTAGTGGCCATTATGACTTTAGATCTGAGGGAATCATTTGATCAATCTTTTCCTTCTACAGCAGACATTCTGACATGTAGCTCTCAGTGGAACGGCGGGAAGAGAGAAGGAAGTAAAAATATGAGATGTTGTTCCTTGCCACCTGTCCCCTGCCGTATCTCTTACATTTAGGCATGTACTTAGCATTGGCTGGGATTGGCAGAGTCTAGTGTGGTAAAATTCTTGGAGGCTGGTACTACAGCTTTCAAAAGCTTCTTGGGGAAAAAAAAGAAAAAGATGATATCTGTGGCTTGGATTTTATAGAGTAAAAATGAAGAAAGGTCTTTGAGTGAAAAAAAAAAAATTGTCTGAAAATATACACTTCTTGTCGTAGACCCCCACTGTACACATGACTATAAACATTGTTCCCTATGTAAATAAAAAAGAAAACGTGTAATAAGAGATTTGAAAAGTCTGGACATTTCCTTCCCAACAGATATTAAAGGCAATGTCTTTAAGACATTATACTGAAAAGACTATCGTATTTTAAAGACAAGATCACTGTCTCCACAGGGTTTTTAAAAATTAAAAAACTACGTAGCTGTATTAAAGCTCTTACTTTGTACAATAATAATGACCTTAAATTTCTTTTAAAAAAATTGCAATAAGCTACGAGTATCAAAGAAGTGAAGTTATCTAGAGTAGTCTGTAGAGGAGCTCTTTGGACCTTCTTTTATTATGCTAAAATAGTAGTGCTTTTAAGATTTACATTATTGTACTCTCCAATACAAAGTTTGGGGCATGTTGAAGTATACAATATACAGTTTTCATACCTGCACAACATTGGTGGATGAAGACTGTCTCTTAGCAGTAATGCTAGATGTAGCCTGTGGTTTTACCAGCTGCATACACTAGGAATATTATGTAAGTAAAAATCTCTCTTGTGATACTGGAAAGTGATTAGAATGTGCAAACCGATAGTAGCTTTCATCCTCCTCTTAAAGGGTACCACCACAGGAAAGTCCGTTTAAGATGTTGGTAGGTTTAACAAAGTTGGAATGCTGGCGCTATTGAATTGGGCAACAGTTCTTCAGACCTAGCTCAGAGCTGCAATGCATTTAGTATATTAAAGCAGCTGACATGACAACTTTTTGCAAGCCTTCCCAGGCACTGGAGTTTTTCTGTTAATTTGCTGCACTAGGTCATAAAAGATCTCATTAAAATTTATTTTTGATTTTGCAGAAGATTCTAAGAATGCAGAGTTGTTCCATTGTCTGGCTAGATTTTGACCTTGTTTCTTCCCTACAACTCTTTCATCTTCCAAGTGACAATTATTACCAACAAGAATCATTGGAACATCATCAGTGTCTTTAACTGGAAGAATCTGTTCTCTCAGGTCTTGTAAATCTTTAAATGTGGACTGTGCTGTGATGGAATAAACTAATGCAAAGCCTTGTCCATTTTTCATGTACAAATCCCTCATTGCTGTAAATCGTTCCGTTTCTGCAGTATCCCAGATTTCTAGCGTACACTGCATCTACTTCAATTTGCTTTCTATAAGAATCTTCTGTCATAGGATCATATTTTTCAACAAAAATTCCTTAAAACAAATTGTGCAGTCAAAGCAGACTTTCTAATGCCTCCTGAGCCAAGAACGGCTAGCTTATACCACACGGGATGCAAACTCAAAGCCTAGTACCTCTCACGCTGTCACCGTCCCTTCAGCCCCGTGCTCCCTCTGGGTCACTGCTCTTGCCCTGGCCCTGACAGGATGTCCTGCCGCTGCTGCGCTCCCGCTCCAGCTGGTTTACATGCCTGACTCTGGGCGAGGTTTGGCGGTGTCCAGAAAACCCTACGTTCTATCAAGAAGGAGTTCACAAAGTGGAAACACAGGTCGCATCACTCACACACCTTCACACACACACGCACACCTGATGCCATTACTTTCAGCTAAAGCATGAGACAAGCCCATGGTCACTTCCTGCCTCAGGAATTCATAAGGTTTTCAACACTGAATAAAGCCAAAATATGTTTTATTTTACAGTCTCATTTAGAATCTCTTGAATACTATCAAACAGGTAAATGAGCTAAAAATTTAAGTTCTAAGATAACCACAGCTCTAGATTCTGTATGGAATAGAAAGCTACATTCAGTAACTTCTCATCACTGCCTTAATAATGCCAGACTATTCCAGTGGGAAGTATCAGTGATTATATCAAGAATTTCTCATGAAGTGTTTGGCTGTGTCATCATACCATGAATTTTAGATGGCTCATCCCAGCTGCAACCAAGAGAACACCCTGCAGTCAGCATTACAGAATATGATGGAATTACTTGAATGTGTAATAGAAATTTCAAATGCTCCACCCTGAACTGGCCATATTTAAATTAAATTTTGAAGCTCATAAACAATTTAGGAAAAAAGAAAATATAAAAGATAGCATCCCAGCCACAGGGTGAATACTGATTCACTTTTTATTTGTTTATTTACTTTCGAGATGGAGTTTTCCTCTTGTTGCCCAGGCTGGAGTGCAATGGTGCAATCTCGGCTCACTGCAACCTCCACCTCCCAAGTTTAAGCAATTCTCCTGCCTCAGTTTCCCAAGTAGCTGGGATGACAGGTTTGCACCACCACATCTAGCTAATTTTGTATTTTTAGTAGAAACGGGATTAGTAGAAACGCCTGACCTCAGGTCGTCCACCCACCAAGGCCTTCCAAAGTGTTCGGATTCCAGGCACAAGCCACTGCACCTGGTCTTGTGATTCATTTTTTTTTTTTTAATGTTTGATTTCTCAGACTTAAGGAAGAAGGGTAATTTGGACTCTGGTTGAGTCACTTTTTAAATGATGGTCTCCTTAAATGACCTAGATCAGTGTCATATCAACCTAGGAGGCATTAGCCGACGATTGAACTGATGACTTCTTGGAGAAACACAGGGTGTGTAGGAGGAGAGCAGCATGACGGGTCAACTGTACTATACTAGGTACTATCTGATGAAGCAGCGCAAAAAATAAAGCAAGGCAATGTGTGTGTATTTATATATATTACTAATTACATGGATAGTCCCAGACTCTGCTATAACTATAATGTCCAGCTATAGATAGATATCTTTAAATGTAAGTATCTTTATATACACAGCTATGTGTGGCTGAAGGCAAATTAGTGAAACTGTCCTGTCTCACCTCTTTGCTTAAACTGAACTCTTCTGAAATGATTCCAGCCAAATGCCTAAAGATCTTTAGGGAAGCAGATATGACAGCCTCTTAGTATTTTTTAAATATTAAGGCTATCAGTCAGTGCTAAGGGCACAGCCATCCTAAGCTTTACCACTTATAGCTGTGTGACCTTAAGCAGGTCTTTTAACCCTTCCCAGCCTCAGTTTTCTTATCTGTAAAATGGGGATTAAAGATAGTGCTTTCTTTGTGCAGTTGTTGAGAGGACTGAATGATGCATGCCAAACTCTTAGCCTTGGTACTTGGTTAATAATGGGCATCCTGTAAACGTTTGCTATTGTTATTATAGTAGGGCACCAAAATGAAATGTCTGGGCATTAAATTGCTCATTTAAATGTTTCCACAAGGGGGCCAGGTGTAATGGCTCATGCCTGTAATCCCAGCACTTTGGGAAGCTGAGGCATGCAGATCACTTAAGGTCAGGAGTTTGAGACCAGCCTGACCAACATGGTGAAACCCCCATCTCTACTAAAAATACAAAAATTAGCCAGGTGTGGTGGCGCATGCCTGTAATCCCAGCTACTCAGGAGGCTGAAACAGGAGAATCCCTTGAACTGGGGAGGCAGAGTTTGCAGTGAGCCAAGGTCACGCCACTGCGCCCCCGCCTGGATGACAAAGCAAGACTTCATCTTGAAAAAAAATGAAAAATACAATGAAATAAAAAATAAATGTCCCCACAAGGGTCCTGAAGAAAACTTGCAGGTAGCTTTGTGCCAGTCACTGCTCAAACTCCTATCTCACGAGCACTGAGTCAGGGCACGCAGGCGTCACTGCGAAGGCTGTTTTCCACAGCTGCGGTTATCATGCATCTTATTCTCTTTCTTTGTTCCAGCTTCCAAGGCTGCCCTAGATCACAAAAGAAACAAACCAGAATCAGAAGGAAACCAGCAAAGACTGGAGTCCTAGATTCAAGGCCTCAAGAGCCCAGCAGTTTACAATATTCTGGATCTAAAACATGCCCTTGGGCCTCCCTTCCAAATGCAACAATCTCCTATTGACTAAAATATAAGATGTGAAGGTCTTGGGCCCCTTTTTGGTCACCCTGTGCTCCTTGTGCATTGAATTATCATGTTCCATCATTGGTGGCTATAGCCTGGTGGCATTTATTAAGCATTTCAAGAGTCTAGATAGCAGCTCCTCTTCTGTGGGGGAGCTGCCCTTCTCAAGGAGCTTGCTCACAGAGGCTGCAGCTTATGAGTACTTTCTCCAAGCTCAGTGATGCTTGACAAGATTGGCAGTCCTGGGCTTTAAACTGCCATCTCTGACATGCAGCGAGAGTCCTGCAGATCATAGGGACCTCCCACCAGCTGCCTTGTCCACACTTCATCACCCCCACACACATGCCCACTTTGCACTCTGGCCTGACAGAGTGATTTGTACACAGGTGTCCAGGAGGCGGTGGTGAGCTGCTTGAACAAACAGACTCGGGAGCCTGCTGATGAGAACCTGTGCGTGACCAGCCGCCGGCCCCCACAGCTCCTGAAATCCTGCAATTTGGATCCCTGCCCAGCAAGGTAAGGGATATGTGGCCTGCCCTACTTTCCAGGGGCGTGCACAGAACTGGGTGCATCCTTCAGTGGGCAAGACAAATACTTATTGTTACTCGACGTTTTGAAAACCAATTAGCATCAGTTCTAACTTTTAGTCAAATCCACTTAAGCTTAATTGAAACCAGGGATTTGGAATTCCAGCCCAATCAATGGTCATGCCAGAGTCTGGAATATACCGTGCATTGACATGAGCCTGTGGCAAGGCTGGTATGTGTGTGTGCCACGCAGTTGCTTTCTCCCAAAGGGAACATGAGCTGACCACGGATGTCATGGGCTCTGCCACCTTTTAGCCTGTGTCCTAAGCACTCACACTATAGTAATGAACTGGTCTGTGAACTGCAGAATAGAAGGACCTGAAGCATCTGGGTGGTACAGCTGATCCACTGTGAAATCTATATGCAAACACCATGCAGATTCATTAGAGCAGGCTCCGGGGGTGTGTGTGCCATTCCACATGCATAAAATCAATTAGAGCATTTCATTGTTCAGCCCTCCCTGGGTCTCATTATTACCCAATCTTGAGTCACAGCCTTGATTGAGTTAAGCAATCCAATCACTGCTTCAGTCCATACAATTTTATGGTGTCTTGAGAAACTTGCCTTTTAGATATTTATTTTTCGAGCAAACCTCATCTATAGTTCTGGCTTGGAAGGGAGATCTTTAAGAACCAAAGCCAGACTTTCAAATCTGCTGATGGAATGAAGAAATGTTGCTGAATAGGGTCAGATCCTTGATGAAAAGGGGAATGCTGATTCTGAATGATAGTTTTTCTGCCAAATGTGTCACCTAAGAAGCAGTTAATACCTGTATTGCTTTAAGGCATTAACCATAGTTTGCTGGTCACACTGATGCACTGCTTGTATTATTTCTCAGCTGGCTAGATTCCTTTCTTTGGGTCTTGGAGGATACAGATCATAGTCCTCCTCCAATCAGATGGAGGCACATCCCATGGTGACACTTCTCCTGCTAGTCACCAGAGTTGTTCTGTATAATGATCTGAATGGTTGACCTGGGCATCCCCTCTTCAAATACAGAAGGGGGCAACTAGTGCCGTCTTCTCCAAGGCAACCAGAAAAATCAGTCAGCCACTGCTTTGGAGAAGCACGCCACCCATGAGAACAGTGGTTAGCAAGATAAGAGTCCAAGTCAGGTCCATTACATGAAATCCTGAGTAGCCTTTCTCTATCTCTGTCCCACCTGGTTCCACATCTCTATCCCAACTCCACAGCTCTCTAGTTGTTGAGCCTAAGACTAAGTGCATGGGAAGGGGCACAAACCTTTCTATTTGACTATAGTCCCATCATCTAGGAAGAGGCAGTGTCGATTCAGCATGGACAGCCTGCAAGGTTCTTGGTTAAGCCACCAAGAGGCCTGGTTTCTCATCCTCCTGTCACCAGCTAGCTCTGTGGCCCAGGGCTAGGAGTCTGCCCTTTATGTTTCCACATCTGCAAAGTGAACTAGTTGTATATGATGACCTGAGGTCACCATGACCTGCTCACATGTCCCATGATTCTTTGTTTTGTAGGCGGAAGCATTAAACAGCTACTCCTAGTGCTGTGTGCTGATCATTGCTGTAATTTCTGTTCTGCTTATTTGTCATTATTTGAAAAACTTGCAAAATGGTCTTTCTAACTGCATTCCCATGTTGTAACAATGCCCAAATGCTGAGGCAGTGCCGAGGAGTTGGTGCCTGGGACTTGCTGAAAACTGCTGGTACTCGTGGTTTCCAAACCCTTCTTTAAGCAGCAAAAGGAATAGGACATGAGATGTTACTTCTCATTCTCAAAGTACTAACTATGGTTAAGTTAGATAAGGTTAGGTTATCCTGTGACCTTTTTGTTGACTCACAGACAAGGACTGTTGTTGAGCTTAATGTTGCTGCATTTGCTCCAGATAAACTCAGTTCTCGGATTTCTCACCAGCCAATGTCAAGCCAACAGGTAAGACCTCTCACTGGGCACAGCCAGGAGTTTCTTGGGTCACCCATACACATTTGAACATTTGTAGAATGTTGCTAATTACAGTAATAAAGGGGCCAAAGTATAATGGCCTGATCTCATCCAAGAGTCAAAATAGATTTTCACCGTAAAAGTCATCAAGGTATAGAGGTGCCTTTCCTGTGAAATATCTCAGTCTGACGTCAGAGAAAAATCTCCCTTCCCTTCTCCTGGTGTTCAGTATATACAGAAGAGAAAACATGTTTCGTAGGAGCATAATAGTGTGTTGTTTTCCCACACAACCCACAAGCTCTGCTCTGTTGAGAGCAATTTAGATCTTTAATTCACAATTCTTATTCCACATGGTTCAGTGTTCCCTGTACATTGTTGTGTGTCTTCTGATGGGATGCAAGTTTCTAGGCTGTGTCCTTTGGGCTCTTAGTCTGTGCTGCTATGCATGTGTTTAAAGAAATACCATAGCATTTTCTGTGGGGCATAACGACATTTCAAGTCTTGGTCACTGGGCCTTTGTCTCTAAGAGGTCACCCCCTGGTTAAGATAAACAGCTTTCCCAGGCAGTTGTTAGGCTCACTGAGCACCGGTTAGGAAGCCCCTTTTTTTCCTGTATGTGGTCAGAGTTATGAGATCACATGGAGAATACCAGAGGTCCCAGAGGGCAAGTCCAATCTGTGTAGGCAGGCTTTCTAAGATTAAACTTGGCTTCTCTTGACTCTGTGTGATGGCAAAGTTTGTATCAGAAGCACATGCCTAACTTTCACCAGGTTTAGGCAGATACATCCTCATACCTGGTTATTCACTGCGGGAAGATGTTTTCTCAAGCTGAAGGTATTCTGACTGTTCCAATTTGTGTGTGTGCATGTAGTGCCTACATTTTTTTAGAACACTTTAAAAAATAGTCATTTTCTGTTTGAAGAGTCCTAGATTTTAAAGTTCTTGCTATCAGCTTTATGTCTGAATCCTCCATTCTATATTTCTGACACCTAGCATAATGTCTGACACTTAGCGAGTGATTAAGTGTTTATTATATAAATAAGTATGAAGTACCAGGAACAAATTTATAAGTAGCAATGTGTGGACCATATTATCAATGACAACTGGGAAGACCTCAATGCTTTCTCTCCTCTGCATCCTCCTTATCCCTTCTCTCCCACCTTCCAGATGCCGTTGATCTTTCCTTAAGCTTAAGGCTTTAAATGCCAACATAAAACATAAAGAGCCTCAGGGTTGAACCTTTTATGTTATCATGCATGTATGGCAAACTATCCCCCAAGTAAGGAGACAAAGACAGGCTTGAATGGAAGAGAGGCACAGGTGGAGGCTGAGTAAGTTATAGGCATTACCCAGGGAGGAGTATGATTGTCGGGAAAGATGGAAAGTAATATATGGAAGACAGATGTTAACCCCTTCACAACTTTGCCTAAGATTGACCATAAGAAATTAGGACCATTTTGGGTTGTGAGCTGCCAATGAGAATTTTTCATCAAAGTTAATGAGTAATTCATGTGTCCAGAAGTTATACCATCTACCCAGTCCTTCAGTGGGAAAACCAGCTCAAGGGAGAAATAGCCAAAAAGGACCTAAGATTGGTCATTAAAAAAGAAGTCAGCCTCCTATTCCTAATAAGGAAGTTTTCCATGTTATAGTTATACAAGGAATACATGAATATTCTCATTCTTTAAAACTGAAGCACAGTAGAAGTAATAAAAGATAAAAATAAAGGTACACACTCCCCTTTCATTACTATATTCTTCAGCTTCAGTTTCTTCTTTTTTTTTTTTTTTTTTTTTTTTTTTGGTTTTTTTTTTTTTTTTTTTCTTTTTTTTTTTTTTTTTTTTTTTTGAGACGGTGTTTCGCTCTCCTTACCCAGACTGGAGTGCAATGGCGTGATCTCGGCTCACCGCAACCTCCGCCTCCTGGGTTCAGGCAATTCTCCTGCCTCAGCCTCCTGAGTAGCTGGGATTACAGGCACGCACCACCATGCCCAGCTAATTTTTTGTATTTTTAGTAGAGACGGGGTTTCACCATGTTGACCAGGATGGTCTCGATCTCTTGACCTCGTGATCCACCCTCCTCGGCCTCCCAAAGTGCTGGGATTACAGGCGTGAGCCACCGCGCCCGGCCCAGTTTCTTCTTATACCCAGAGATAGCCATGGTTAATGCTTTGCTACATACACTTCCAGATATTTTTCTATGAATTTATATGCATATAAGAACATATACAAATAGTTACGGCTTTTTCCCTTTATAAATGGGATCTTACTGTGTATATTGTTGGGAAACTTGATTTTGTTACTTAATATTATGCACTAAAGATCTTTTACACCCCTGAGACACCAAAATTAAATGACTAGCACATTGATGTAGACCTGCTCTGTCACTTTCAACTATCCGACCTTCAAGAGGCCATACACCTTTTGAATCCTCAGTTTTCTCCTCTCTAAAATAGGAATGTAGTAGGCACTCAGAAAAAATCATTACCTTCTCCTTTCTTTTCATTTTTGGTGAGAAATACTTCTAGTTTAAACAAAAACATGATTTTTTAAAAATTTAGGCCTTAAATTTAATTAGATGTTTTTATTTAACTAAAGTCTTAATAATTAAGCTTTAGGCTGGGCGCGGTAGCTCACGCCTGTAATCCCAGTACTTTGCGAGGCCAAGGCAGATGGACTGCTTGAGATCAGGAGTTCAAGATCAGCCTGGACAACCTGGCAAAACCCTGTCTCTATAAAAAATACAAAAATTAGCTGTGTGTGGAGGGGTGTGCCTGTAGTCATAGCTACTTGGGAGGCTAGGATGAGAGGATACTGAACCCAGGGAGATCAAGTCTTCAGTGAGCTGCAATCACACCATTACACTCCAGCCTGAGTGACAGAGTGAGACCATGTTTCAAAAAAAAAAAAAAAAAAAAATTAAGCTTTATCAACTGTCTCCCTGGTTTACAATAGCACTGACATGAGCAGCCCAAGGAAAAGCAGAAAGTACTACCTTTTAAAAAAAAGTATATGA